TATTTAATGTGAATATCTCCCAGATTAACCATGTCTTCATTCAACCCACTTACCTCAATTTTGAACCAAAACAAGTTAGAAGGACCAAATTATGTTGACTGGAAAAGGAACCTTGATATTGTCCTAACTGCTGAAGGTTACAAATTTGTAATCTCTAAGGAGTTCCCAGAAAAACATGAAAATGCTACGGATGATCAGGTTGAGGCCTATGACAAATGGGTTAAGGCTGATGAGATGGCCCGATGACACATTCTTGCCTCTATGGCGAATGTTTTGCGACATCAGCATCAGTCCATTGGGTTTGCTTATGATATGATCGAAAGTCTCAAAGAGATGTTCGGTGAGCAAAAACGCGCAGCTAAGCAGACAGCCATGAAAGCCCTTTTGAACACGAAAATGGCTGAAGGATCATCGGTCAGGGACCATGTTCTGAAGATGATGAGTCTTCTGAATGAACTGGAAGTCCTTGGAGCTGTGATTGATAAGGAGTCTCAAGTTGAGATGGTCCTGTAGACTCTGCCTGACAGTTTTCAACAATTTTGCTTGAACTATAATATGAACAAAATGGATTTGTCACTAGCGAAATTGTTGAATGAGCTGCAAGCGGCAGAATCTATTATCAAACAACAAGCTCCAGTTGTGGCACTAAATGTTGAGAAATCTTCAATTTCTAAGTCGAAAGGCAATAAGAAAAAGAAGAAGGCTCAAAAGGTTCTGGCACCTGGTGGTGTGGCTGGTGTGAACAAGGCCAAAGGCAAGTGCTATCATTGCAAGCAACCCGGGCATCACAAGAAGCAGTGCCCCGCCTATCTGGTAAAGTTGAATAACCAAGGTAATTCAAATTTAAATGTCATTGTACCATGTTTTGGTGTGTAGATTCGGGAGTCACTAATCACATCTGTAATTCTTTGCAGGGGTTTCAGGAAACGCGACGGCTAAGTGAGAATGAAGTTCGCGTTTTTCAAGCCAATGGAGAGCCAGCACCATCTTTAGCTTTAGGAGATATTAGTGTTTCGTTTAGTAGTGATAGAGTTTTAGTTTTAAAAGATGTTCTCTATACCTTCCATTAGAAGGAATTTGATTTCGGTTTCGAAAATAGTGGATGCTGGTTATAAGTTTGTTTTGCTAATAACTCTGTTGTTATTAAGTTTCATAGACGTTTTATCTACAAAGCTGCTAGAGTACATGACCTTTTTGTTCTTGATATATCTCCCCCTGTGCTACAACAACCAAAATAACTAAATAACATTAATCTACCACATAAAAGAAAACGTATTTCTGAATTGAGTCAGACTTATTTATGACACTTACGTCTAGGCAATATAAATCTAAATAGGATTTCGAGATTGGTCTTTGATGGACCTTTGAGTTCATTGAAAGTGGAATCACTACCAACATTCGAATCCTGTTTAGAAGGTAAAATGACCAAGAGACATTTTCCCTCAAAAGGGAATAGAGCCAGTGATAAGCTAGAATTAATTTACTCTGATTTGTATAGTCCTATGAATATACAAGCAAGAGGTGGTTTTGAGTATTTTGTGACTTTCGCAGATGATTACTCAAAATATGGATATATTTATCTGTTGCGCCGTAAGTCTGAATGCTTTGAGAAATTCAAAGAATTTAAGACGGAAACAGAGAAATGACATGATAAATATATCAAAACATTACGATCTGATCATGGTGGTGAATACCTTTCTGTGGAATTCATTAAATACTTATCAGATAATGGAATTACATCTCAATTATCTGCACCAGGAACACCACAATAAAATGGTGTGGCAGAAAGAAGAAATAGGACTCTTATGGGAATGGTTAGATCAATGTTAAGTTATTCCGATTTGTCTCTTTCCTTTTGGGGATATGCTTTAGAAACAGCAAACTACATTTTAAATTTGGTTCCTTCAAAGTCAATACCTTCAACTCCAATAGAATTGTGGACTGGGCAAAAGCCAAGTTTACGGCACATTCGGGTTTGGGGTTGTCCAGCACAAGTGCTGAAAGGGAAAACGGATAAATTGGAATCAAGGACAGAAGTATGCATTTTCATTGGATATCCAAAAGGAACAAAAGGCGGTTTGTTTTATTGTCCCAAAGAAACGAAGGTAATTGTTACGACAAATGCCAGATTTTTAGAGGAGGACTATCTAACGAACCATATTCCTAGAAGTAAACTAGTTTTATAGGAATTAAATAATGGAATAACTAACGACTCAACTCTTGAACGTATCCCGGAAGCCAGCATTGACATACCACTGTATTATCGTAGTGGGAGAAATGTCAATAGGCATCAGATTGCACAAGAACAATTGCCTGACATCTCACTACCCCAAAGTAGTGGAAATAATGTTGAGCAACCTCCATTGTTGAGCAACCTCACGTTGTTGAACAACCTGAAATTGTTATGCAACCTGAAGAATCCGAAAGCCTCTCTCACCGCGGTCCTGGCGTAACCACGGTAGGACCGCGGCAGAACAATGCCCCTGATTCTGCAGGGCCTTCTGACCGCGGTCCTGGCATAACCGTGGTAGGACCGCGGCAGAACAGCGCCTCTGATTCTGAGAGCCAATCTGGGAGGGATTCTGCAATCCAGGAAGAAGTCAATGATATCCTAGCACCGCTTGGTGTGGAAAATAACATTGAGGCTTCAGTTCAAGGAAGTGGTGATGTCATTCAACAACAAAATCAGCCTCCACCTGTAGTGACTAGTCGTAGTGGGAGAATTATTAGAAAACCTCTCCGGTTTGCGCTCTTGGGAGAATCTTATGATAGAATCCCTGAAGAGCCTAATACATAACCTATTAATTACGACGAAGCACTACATGATACAGATGCTGATAAATGGGTTGATGCTATGAAATCTGAAATGGAGTCCATGTACTCAAATCAAGTCTGGGATCTTGTAGAACCACCTACTGGAGTCAAACCCATAGGTTGTAGATGGATCTATAAGAAAAAGAGAGGAATGGATGGAAAAGTGCAAACTTCTAAAGCTAGGCTTGTCGCAAAAGGGTTTACTAAAAAAAGAAGGGATCGATTATGAGGAAACCTTTTCGCCAGTAGCCATGCTTAAATCCATAAGGATTCTCTTATCCATTGCGGCTCATTACGATTATGAGATCTGGCAAATGGATGTCAAGACCGCTTTTCTAAATGGAAGTATTGATGAGTGCATCTATATAGCACAACCAGTTGGTTTCATAAAAAGTGGAAATGAGCACATATTGTGTAAATTAAAGAAATCCATTTATGGATTGAAACAAGCTTCTAGGGCATGGAACACTTGTTTTGACGCATCGATTAAGACATTCGGTTTTGATCAATGTGAAAATGAGTCTTGTGTCTATAAGAAGTGGAGTGGAGATAAAGTTACATTTTTGGTCTTGTACGTAGATGATATTTTGCTCATAGGAAACAATGTGAGCATGTTGAATTCAGTAAAGGAATGAGTGTTAAAATATTAGACGCATGGTTATGAGTCTAAGTGGGAGATTGTTGGGATATACTATTAACCATGCGGTTTAGACATAGTATTATATTTTGTTCTTTATGAAATAATTGTTTATTTAATTTATTCAATTCAATAAAGCACTATTTTAAATAGATCATTTGTAACATGTGTGTCCTTTTGATTATGTAGTAGACAATTTAGTGTATGGAGTCTTAGCTCATACACAGAAGATTAAATTGTTGGTTCTCATAATTAATAAACTATGCTCACAATCGAAGATATTATCGGACAAAATATCTTGATGATTGTAGCACAAGATTATTGTATAATTTGTCTTGATTATGGGAGTAAGTATACTCCAACTTCTTGTGCTAGTATACTCAGTGTATATTGAACGGACCAAGTAGAGAAAAGGTATTTTTGTACTGAATACATATAAAACACTTTCTCTAATTCATTAAATGAGCTTTTACTCATAATCTTGATATAATTATTATGATCAATGTACTTTGTTTATTGTTTTGATTTATCAAAAGGTACGACTCTATTTAGAGTTAGTATATGCCTAATAAATTGGACAATAACAAATAACATTTGTGAATAATAATTAGTTGATAGAATCCATGACTTGGTTTTTGGGTTTGATAATACCCCTTTATATAAGCTTATAAGTTTTCATGTGAAAACCCGACCGGTTGATTTTGTATCCGTCACATGAGATGGTTTAAGCGGAATTATAAAGGATTTAATTAGTTAATTGAATTAAATTATCAGTGATTTAATTTAATTAACTGGTATTTGAAATCTTAACACGGGGAGTTAAAATAAGTGTTAGTGAATTTACGAAATTCATATTGAGGAGTTCAATTGCAGTTTTTTAGTGGAATAAATTGCAATTAATTATAGTAAGAATTAATTCATGCTAATTTAGAATTAATACTGTAATTGGTAGCCTCTTATTGTTTCTGTGGTCCCTGCTACCTAGTAAAAATCTGGACAGACTTGGGTAAAAAGTAGCTTGGGAGAAAAGTTACTATTTTGAGTTAGAGTAGGATTCTACTTATGGAATCCTAGTCTTACACGATTTTAAGCCTATTTTAGGGCTTAAAATTCGTGTATTTAATAAGAAAAGAGAGACAGGTTTCTCCGGTGTGACTAACCCTAGAGTTGTATTGTTCTTGCCCACCCAAAAGCAAAAGTATTCAAGGTTTTACTAGGCATATAGTAGAAGACTACAGCCCTGGATTCTTGCTGCTTGGAGAATTTGTGCAATCATTTCAAAAGGTTAGTGTTCCTGATCTCGTTATTATTACGTTGTCTAGTTTACATGTAATTGATGCCTAGATTGTATGCTTGCTTCCGCTGTGCATGTTCTATCAATTGGTATCAGACGCCGTCTTACATCTAACTAGATAATGTAATACAGCATGCATAAAGTAATATTAAAACGTGTTACTCATTGATACATGTTTCGGATAATTATTCTATGTTAAAAACGTGAATGTTTTGTATAATATTCTGTAATCTTGGATTAAAATACAGAATTTTTGGAATATATACTCTTTTATGAAGTCTGAGCTCTGCCTGTATTTTTCGTATCTCTCGTTTGGTATTGAAATGAACTAAGGAAAGCCAACACTTTGAAAATCAGCCTAAAAATTTGAAGGGAAAAGTGAACAAAGTGGAATGTGTTCATTACCTGTACAACCAGAAGCCCATTTTCTGCCAGTGCAGATTCACAGCAAGAAAAGAATTCCCCTATGAAATCATGACCAACATGTTCTAACATCCCACTGAAAATGATCATTAGTACAATTTTAACACTTGCTCGACATGTAATGAGTACAACAACAACAACAAACCCACTGAGTTCCCACAAGTGGGGTCTGAGGAGAGTAATGTGTACGTAGACCTTACCCCTACCCTAGAAGGGCAGATGGGCTGTTTCTGATAGACCCTCGAATAGAGAGTAGATGAAAAGAAGCATAGGCTCGACATGTAATGAGTGATACAATATATCCAGACGAGACAGATAAAACCTCACCATGATATAATCCTGTCATATTTGTAGTTATTTGGCATTTGGCGATAGTCACATAGGAGAAATGTTATTTGATCCTGTAAAAAAGTTACATTGAATTGAATATTGTAGATAACCCTAGCTTTACAATAGACATTGTTAGTACTACACCTGAAGGCCTGCTTGTTGAACTATTGATTGTGCATACTTTAGTTGCTGCTCGGAGAGAGTTACACCAGTATATTTACATCCTGTTTGCTTGACAACTTCCACAGCCAAACTTCCCCAACCAAATCCAATCTCTAAAATGTGATGTTCCTTGCTAATTTTAGCCTAAATAAAATAGAAGCAGAATCAAATTAGGACTGAAATTTATGTCGAGAGGGGTGTGATTTTTACTTACTTGATGACTTACCTTTTTAATGAGAAGAGAAATCTTTCTAAGTTGTGCAACTTTCAGATCTTCATTCTCACTCTATAAAAAGTAAGAAAGAAAACTAAATCACCATGGATTGAGATTATACAACAACAACGAACCCAGTGCGGTCCCGCAGATGGGGTCTAGGGAGGGTAGTGTGTACGGAGATCTTACCCCTACCTTGTGAAGGTAAAGAGGCTGTTTTCGATAGACCCTCGGCTCAAAAAAAGCATGTAAAGAGAAGCAGTAACGAAATAGGGGATGAGATTATAAAGAACAGGAATGTAGTTTAACATTATGGGGAATGACAAGCATTTAAAAATTTGAGAGCTAACCTTGAATATTGCACATGAGTATGTCATTGTCTCATCCAGAAAGAGTGAGAAGAGTTCATTACTCTGAACAAAAAATTAACAACACAATGCTCATCAATCTAGCAGCCTATTTTAAACAAGAAAATTACATGAAAACAGAAGGAAGAGATTAATCTATACAAGAAAAAATATACACAGGATTAAGTAACTTCTATTTCAATCTGGGGCGAGAGTGCCGAGAGCGGGTTCGGCGAAACCCAGTAGCATTGGTTCGAACCCTGTATTTGTAAAATTCATTTAATATGCATAAATTATTAATTTAGAACCCAGTAACTTAAGGCGATTAAAATCCCGAACCCATAAGCTTGAAATTCTGGCTCTGCCTCTGAATTTTCAATAGTGATCCTTGACATCTGTTACATACTTTGAGTGATATAAGATGCAAGTTATCTAATTACCAGGTCATAATGACGAGAGATATTCCGTCGAGCCTTTGTCAGGGTGTTTTGATTTGAAACATGTTGAATGAAATATTTTGCAGATGATAATGCTGCTGTAGAAAGCAGTGGTGTCCACCAGCCACTGGAGAACAAAGTAATGAATTTTTTTAACATATGAACATAAGTTGCAATTTCCTGATTTCAATTTCAATAAACTACTTACCTTTTCTTACTAGACCTTGTGACTGATGCTTTCAAATCTCTGTTGGCAACAAATATCTGAAAAAGAATTTCAGGAAGTTAAGTACAAACCAATAGCTATTTACAAAGATGTTGAGTCATTTTCTTACCATGAAAAGATTAAGAAGACCTTCATTCTTGTCAACAAAAGAGAAATCCCCATGAATAAAAGCATCAGCAAGGCCTAAGTCACCTTGAGTTGCAACCTGCAATAGACTATCTATATCACATAATTGGTCTAAATTGGGAAACTTTTAATTTTTCTTTTTGGCTTTATCGCTCAATTACTTGTAAGGGGGCAGGAAGGGGAGCCTTGGCGTAATGCTGCCATGTGACCAGGAGGTCACGGGTACGAGCCGTGGAAACAACCTTTTGCAGAAATGCAGGGTAAGGCTGTGTACAATAAACCCTTGTGGTCCTCATCTTCCCCGGACACCGTGCATAGCGGGAGCTTAGTGCATCGGGCTGCCCTACTTGTAGGGGGCAAAAGAAAATTTCAAGTTACCTTCCAGTAAAACTGTGTACTATGAACTCTAAGAGAAACTTTGAGAGAGCATTTCCTGTCTGTTCCTTGGAAGGTGAAAATTGTACCTCCATCTTCCAACAAGCTGTGCATCGAAAAATATAAAGTTACTATCCAATATCTTTAAATATTAGAAAAAAGAAACTCAAATATGCGCGAGTAATATTCTAACATTTCCAGCATGAATAATTCAGAATATTCTGAGGCTATGTATTATTGAAGGAATAATACAAAACAAAAAGTACAATAAATCGCGATTCACACATGATTTTTTTTTTTTTGCGCAACATGCTTTTTGACTTGTATATGAGCTTTAAGTAAATCGATTTGAATAAAAGAAGTGCATTTTCTCAATAAAATAGTCGTTCTGCATCTTGCTACAATGCTACCATTCAAATAGCAAAGATCACAAATGTGATAAAACAAGAAATAGGATAGAGGGAAATAAACAAGTTGTTAGATATGTATCTTCCACTATTCTATTTTGGGACTAAAGCAATACAAGGTGAAACTATTATCACTCACATTATGCATCCTGTTTCAATGAAACTTTTGAGAAATCTAGTAACGATGAGGCGTGCTCCTGTTTCAGGCCAGGTTGGTACCATGTGCTTGGCGTTGTGCAGAATACTACAATTCCTTCTAAGAACACCATCTGCAGCAGCCACACCTGCCTGAGGAGGAGAAAACGTAGATAATCATCGACATGACATCAAAGGGACAACAAAAGCTAGAAAAGACTCCAAATTGCTGTCAGAGTAAGGTAATAGTTCAAGTTAAAATCTGCTGAACTTGTTATTAGCAGAGTTAGTACTACCTTTAGTCCATCCTCATGGAAGCCATAGCCTGAAAGTATCGCAATAAATATACATCAATAAGCAGTGAAACTCAAAGCGGAAAATAAAGTCTGCAGTAAAGGGAAGGAAAGACTAAAGTCGGAACAACTCAAGCTACAAGCGTTAGCAGTAGTTTTTCTTTAACCTTATGTGGAAAAAAAAAAGCAGTGCGTAAACCAAGGCACTAGGTTCTTCTGCTCGCTCTCTGGCATCAAGTTGAAATGGAAAGAAAAACAAAAAGTGAATGATCTCTCTTTGCAAAGACAGCTTGGCTGCTGGTTTAGTCCCCTCAATACCAATGACTTAAGGCTATTTCACCTAAATAGTATCGGATTCATTTTATACGTGAAGATTCAGGAGAGAACTATAAAAACTCTGGAGTCTGCCTTGGGCCAAGCCCGCGCAGTTTTCTCCAAAAGGTCTCACACCATTAAGAGTATCCCTACAACTTATATGTCACTTTCTTTTCTTTTCAGCTACCAATGTGGGACTTTGTTCGCACACTCAATACTAGGCAAGAAAGAAGGTTACAAAGGAATTTCCATCTTGAAGCAACTCTCAGTACTCTGCATAAAAGGAGATTCATACCTTGATATGCTCCACAAAACCATATTCCTCTCTTTCCTTGTATTTGGTCTAGCTCACATGAAGCTTTTGATGCAGCAACTGAGGGGATTGGGTGGCTTGTTGTCCACTTAAGCAACGTATTCTCTGGTGTGTGAGGAGGATTGATGGTTACGAGATAAGGCAACTTTGAGTCACCAAGATTCTGTAAATTTAGACAGCTCATAAAACAAGAGGATAGTTACAAGAGAAAAGACTCCCGACTGAAGAACATTATCTACTACTTTCTACACACCTGGATTATATTTAGCCAATATGTCATGCATCCTCTAGTATTCATGATTCCAAGAAAGTTCAAAGCACTCCATGTTGCCGGGTCACGAGGCAGGTATGTTTTGTCACGGTGAAGGAAAATATCACTGTCGTAGAGGAAGAAAACACGATTTTTGCAACATCATAAATCTTATTAAGACTATGGTCCAATCGAATTGGTCTCCAGTACGATTTTCATATTAGCTCAGAAATGTAGCAGGTTGTAGCTGTTACATTGACTACAACCAGCCACCATTAAAACATGAATTTTAAATTAACTTCACTAAAGCACAAAATAGAGCTCCTCTGGTAACAGAAAATACAAATAGGAACATGGCTATACATTTATTACCTTTACTTAGAGGAGCTCTATACTGTGAAGTAGCCGAAGGTACCTATAGATATACTGGAAAGCACCCAGAATTCTTGTTTCATCATATGTTGCCTCTTTGCCTAACATTTTCAGAGTATCTGGAGCATGTCCAGCCATTACGCATCCATCATATACTTCTTTGGCACCATCATTGCAAGCTATGGTACAACCTGCACGGACTCTTTCTTTTACAGTTAGAATCATGAGTAGTTCGTAGCTATGTGATGGTAACACAATGCAGCTATTTGAAGTTTTTCCTTGGATAAGCACCAAATTAGCTCTGTCTACACCACTATCACTTGAAACGATATCATAAAATGAATATAAACTAAAAAAACACATGTTCTTATACAAATCAACAAGCTAGAGGCCAAGATAATTTAGTCAACACCATGGTTTTTGATCTTCAGTGAGATCCACTAACGTCTTTCGAATCTGCTCACTTGCCTAAGCCTTGGCGGAAGAGTAACCTGCTACCAGTGGCTGTGCTGATGGGAGGTAACAGTCGCCCGATGAAATAGTTAAGGTGTGTACAAGCTAGCCTAGACACTATTGTTACACTAATGGATATCAATGAAAACCCTATCTTCCTCATTTCTGGTTTTGCATTTACAAAGGACCATTTTTAAAAACATAAAGTGATGGTGTTTTTCCAATTAATTAAATTGCCCTCAGGTAATAGCCAATCCATTTTCCCAACAGATATATGCATATCTACTATTAAGATAAAAGAAACAGCACAACGAACTCTTGCGAGAAGCCATAAATAAAATCAAGCTAGACCTTCTTCATTTGTCGATACAGAATTTACTTCACAACCAGTTCTTACTTGGCAGCCTCTCTTCTCCAGATCCTCCTTAACCTGAATCCAGTGGCCCCGTGAAATCATTCTCAAGGATGATATATGCTTAATATAACAAATCATGCAAGAAAGTGAATATTGGTAATTGCCTGAAGTTTTCCTCAGAAAAATAGTAAAAACTTTGAGGTATCAATGAATTAAGAAAATCACCTTGTTTACATATGCATATGATTTCCATCTTACAGTGAGCAATTGAGGGAGACCAAAGAGCTGTAAAGAAAGAAACAAAATCACCCTTAAGCACAAAGACAATAAAATGATAACCTACACACAAAGTACGCTAATTGAACAGTAGATAAGAGAAACGAAACCTGCAGAAGATGGTGGTCGCGGAAGTATGAAAGAATGGAATAAGCAGAAAAGTGTTATCCGCTACTGTGTTAAAACACAAAATCAGAAAACTGTTAGAAGAATAAAAGAAACTGAAAAACAGTAAAGAATAAAAAATATTCCGAGTCCACAATTTGATTGTGCGTCCTTAAGGAATTTTAACCACTCACAAGTTGCCAAGGTAATGGATTAAATCCTCCCAGAATGAAACGGAATAAACCTTCCTGCAACAGTGGCAATACAAACTGCAGGATATCAACGAACTCAAAGAACGGAGCAAAATCACACTTACGAATTTGAGAGAGAGAGACTGCGAATTAGAATGCAGTATTTTCAGAAAGAAGGAAGTTCTGTAATGTTTTTGGTCTGTTAAAAACGAAGCCATGCCTCAGAATTTATAGGCAATTATTGGAAGAGGTGTGATGTTTGTTCCGGAAAAGGTGTCTGTTCAGAAGTTTAGGCGTCCTGCCGCGGTCCTACTGCGGTTACGCCAGGACCGCGGCCAAACTAGCCTTCTGAATCTGCAGCAGTGTTCTGGCACGGTCCTACCGCGGTTACGCCAGGACCGCGGCCAGACTATCCTTCTGAATCTTCAGCAGTGATCTGGCATTTAATTAATTATTAAATAATTAATTAAATAAATTTTGTCCAAAAATAATCTTATCGATATATCATTTTCCAAATCCAAATCCAATCAAATCCAAGCCGAAGCCGAGCCGAGCGACGACGGCGTGAGGGTTCATTCTCTTCAACTCCTTTTAAGAGCTTTAAGAAGTGATTATATATATAAGCACACAAATGTAGTTGTCCCTCACCAATGAGCGACAAAGTGCAAGTCAAAAGCTCACTTTATTCAAATTTTCATTTCCCTCCATTTAATTTTCCACCATTTCCAATTCACACTCTTAGACTTTAAAGCCCAATGCTTAAAGTCTTTGAAGCCCAATGCCTTTAAAGTCCAACAATCCCCCACATGAATGGGAATGGCTGTAACAAGAATGATCATAGATGAAAGCTGTGTGATTTGCAAGTAAGGATTAATCGCATCTGGATAAGTAGGTTTCCCTTTGAACTTTCCGTAGTGAACATATGTCGGATATACTCGGTCAATCGATAGATTTGATATCTTTGAACCGTCAAACTTTAGTGTATACCTAGACTAAGGCTGTATGTGGGCCCGGGCCCGGGCATAAATGGGCTAAACGGGCCGGGCTAAACGGGCATGGGCTTAGCGGTCCCGGGCTCTGGCGGTCCCGGGCTTCGCGGTCCCGGGCTTCGTGGGCTCAACGGGTAGGACCAGCCCATGACGGGCCTAAGCCCATATGGTCCTGGGCTAAATGGGCCGGGCTCGTGGGCTTAGCGGGCCTAACGGGCTTTTTTTATTTCCGGGCTTTTTTTTTAATTTTTTTTATTTAGGGCAATTTCTTGTAAACCATATGTGTATGTATATATATAAATTGCTCTTATGCAT